AGATGTGAAGGAAGAGTACGCCGTGGAAACAAGCGTGTCCTCAATGGGTTTCAGATGGAGACCCTTGCAACAAATGATCAAGGTTTGCTATGACTTTGCAGGTATGACTGCATCGGAATCGCAGAATACGATGGAGAATGTGGTAGCAATGACAGATCTCTCTGATGATGATCACTCTCCGAGAGATCATTTGTCAATGGATGAGAAGCAGGTCGAGATTCAGCAGGCTTACCAAGCATTTCAAGTTGGAACTTGGTGCGACAGATGAGACAAGCAGAAGCAAGACACAGTGAAAATGCAGATGGAGAAACAAACAATGAAGAAGCCAACAATGAGCAGATGGATCAAGGTAGCTCCTCGGGATCAGAAGGTCTTCCAGTGCGCCTAAGGAAGAGGCATCTGATCCAGACTTATGGATGGAAATCCATCATGGAGGTGACGATGAAATGGAAAATGAAGATTGAGATAAGTGTGGACCCGCTGTGAGTTAACGCGATCTCACAGGGGCATTTGCATGTTCTTTGCAATGGATGGCAGCTGTGAGCTAACTCGATCTCACAGTGCAGCTGGAGTAGCATGTCTCACAAGTGACAAGCTGTTTTCAGTTGGAATTCCACAAATGTGGATGAGTTTGTGGCGTTTTGTTGCTTTTTGGTTTTTCTACGTAAAGTAGCCACCTAGCAGCTTGGAATCTGAGTCAACGGACCTCAGAACCCAAGGGCGAGGTAACTAGATGTTGCCAGTCCGCTCCACCTAAGTTTTACCTGTTTGCATAGTTGAAAACAACTCCACAAAACGTGGTGCAAACAAAACAGAAAACACAGTTTCATGCAAAACGCATGAGCATGTGAATGCGTGAATCCTCCGAGGCTTTGGTGTTTCAAAAGGAGTTTAGACTATCTAATCTATCTAATCTATCTATTCTATCCAATCTATCTAATCTATCTAATCCTATCTATCTACCTACCTATCTAATCTATCTAATCTATCTAATCTATCTAATCTATCTAATCTATCTAATCTATCTAATCTATCTAATCTATCTAATCTATCTAATCTATCTATCCTATCTAATCTATCTAATCTATCTAATCTATCTAATCTATCTAATCTATCTAATCTATCTAATCTATCTAATCTATCTAATCTATCTAATCTATCTAATCCTAATCCTAATCTATCTACCTACCTACCTAGCTATCTATCTATCTATCTATCTATCCATCTATCTATCTATCTATCTATCTTACTTATCTATCTGCCTGCCTGCCTGTCTATCTGTCTATCTGTCTATCTGTCTATCTGTCTATCTGTCTACCTGTCTGTCTATCAGTCTATCTGCAAGCTCGGAAAGGAAGCTATTCTGCGAGACTCCTCAGTTTTTGAATTTGACAACATCAAAAACGCAGCTATTCTGAAGACCTCCACAATTTTTGAACTTGACAACGTCAAAAACGAAGCAATCCTGCGAGACCTCCTCAATATTCCAAGTTGACACCATCAAAAACGAAGCAACTCTGCGAGACTTCCTTAAAAAATGGAAAGTTGAGTGCAGAGCTGACGGCCTCGTGCCAATGGGTTTTGCAATTTGTCCATTACAAAGTACTGCGCCTGCTACGAAAAAGTGAGGCCACGTCATACCAAGTGCTTCACCTGTCACGCAAAATCATCTTAGCAAACCTGTAGGTCTGACGCTCCAAAATGCAACCCGTGTCAAGAACTCTGCGCTGTGTGACCTCCGAACATCTCTGATGAACATGTTTCTTGTATTGTGCCTGCCACGCGACATGCATCTTTGCAGATCCCTCACTTTTGGCAAGGTACCGAATCCCTTGCGCCTACCAGGCAAAACCACATCCTAACTTCCAAAAGTGGTCCGAGACCGTCAGTTTTAAACACTTTCGACTACGCCACGCCACAACGGCATGCACTTTTTGAACATCCTCAACTTCCAAAGTGCTCCGACACTGAGGTGTTTTGTACATTTTGACTTGGAAATGTGCTTCGCGCGACAACGGCGCGCACTCTCAAAAGTTGCCTGAGACCGTCTGCTTTTTACACTTTGCATTTCGACATGTGCTTCGGGCCACACCGGCGTGCACTTTTCAACATCACAACCCCCAAAAGCGTTCCGGTGCGTTCAACTTTTTGACTTCGAAGTCTGCTTTGCACCACAACTGCGTGCAATTTTTCATCTCTCATCTCCCCAGATGGTTCCGCGCCCGCCGCTTTAGCAAACCTAGTTTTTCGACCCCCCGGAGCCACAAAGCAGTGGAAAAACAGTGTGGTCGCGACACTTTTTTCTTCTCGCACACCTGCATCTTCTTTCTTCTTTCTTCTTTCTTCTGACTCTTTCTCTTCTCCTTTCTTCTTTCTTCTTTCTTCTTTCTTCTTTCTTCTTTCTTCTTTCTGCTTTCTTCTTTCTTCTTTCTTCTTTCTTCTTTCTTCTTTCTTCTTTCTTCTTTCTTCTTTCTTCTTTCTTCTTTCTTCTTTCTTCTTTCTTCTTTCTTCTTTCGTCTTTCGTCTTTCGTCTTTCTCCTCTCCTCTCCTCTCCTCTCTTCTCTTCCCTTCCCTTCCCTTCCCTTCTCTTCTCTTCTCTTCTCTTCTCTTCTGTTCTCTTCTCTTCTCTTCTCTTCTCTGACGCTTCCCACCTCTGCTTTTTCATCTGCCCACATTGTCGGAAGTTGGATTTCTTTTGATCAAAAGGTGTCGCTCATGAACGGTGGTGCCATCGGATTTCGTTTTTCCGCAAGTTGGAAACACCGTGATGCAATTGTTTGAACGAATGTTGGGAGATGTGACAAATGCCAAATTGCGCGGAATAAGGGGGAAAAAAAAAGGAAATAAGGAAAAACATAGGGAAATACGGAAATAAGGTTTTGGGGGTATGTGCCTGGATTGGTACCAGCCCTCAGGGCAAAATCAAGAAATTTACGCTTGAAAATGACAATGTTGCATACGTAGAAAGTGTTTTTTATGCTAAAAAATGCTGCCGTTGAGCCAAAAATGGTCAAAAAATGCATCATGTCACTTCAATTCTTCCATTTTTTTGCTTTATCCAACTCTGGAGTCACATTTTTGTGAGTAAAAATGGCCCTGTTGCATATGTAGGAAACTGTTTTTTTGCTGTAAAATGGCAAAAAATGCATCATTTTGGGTTGATTTTTTCATTTTTTTATGTATTGTGTGTGATTGTGTGAGTATATTTTCAAAATCAACTTGCCAAAGATGGAAATTTATCATGAAACAACTGCTATTTTGACTTCAAAAAACCTGAAAATGCATTGAGCAGTGCTTTTTGAGTGACATAAGTGACCTTGGGACCTGGAATAACATAACATTCCCCTTGCAATTTCCTCTACAAAATTATAGAGGACCGTATTGCCCAGTGTCAACATTTGCAATTTTAGACAGGACCTTGGCAATTGGTGTAAGTGTCAGCAATTCTATAAAGATTCCATGTTGAAAACAGATGCTGAAAACTTGGAGCAAGAGCAACTGGAGTATTCAGGTCAGCTGTCAATTGACAAATAGGCAAAATCCGAGGCAATAATGGTAGCATAAAGGTGTTTGATTTACTCTGCAGACTAACCTCCATGTGTTTGACGTGTACACATGCTGAGCGCATGGTACAACATGAACTTTGCAACAATGAATTCCAATGAACATCCCATGTGGCAGGTCATTGGTAGAGTTCTTGAGTCTTGATTCATTAAATTTCATTAATGTTGTTTCGTTTTTGGCGAAAAATAAGGACACTTGGTACAAAACGCCTGGCGTACTAATTCTCGGGATGTCTGGTCCAATGATTTGCCGGGTTTATGTGAGGCACAGCGGCACGAAAAAATGGGTAAACTTACATGACTACGGCAGAAACAGTCATAGTCTCTTCAGGTAGTGGGTGTATTTGTCAGATAGTTGGTTTGGTTGTGCCGTTGCAATCTTGTTGGTAAAATTCCAGACTCCGATCGATGGTTGTCCTGCTCTTGCTGGTTTTTGGTTCCATTTTTGTTGATCAAATCCAATTTTGTCTGTTTGACAATGCCACCAAACCGTGCAAAAAAATGGTTACCCTTCATGTGCCCTGCATGTTAAAGGCGGCTGGCTTATGACATCAAATTTGTTGTTTACTGTGATATTTTTTCTACATGTTTGATAGAAAAAATGCCGTACAATAAACTTTCAACCGTGCATTCGCGCTGTTGTTTCATTCCCATGCGTGTTGGCTGCAGTTTTTATGAACCCGTGATTAATGGATTGTCACGGGTGATTTTGATTCCGTTGTTTGATTGCATCATGTGTGTTGTTGGTTGGACAGACACATGCGTGAATCGATTGTCCATGGGGTTCATCATAACCCAATTACTCAATTACCTATTGTAATTTGTGTGGTGCTATGCACGATTTTTTTCTGGTCATTTTTTTTGACAAACAAACAATTGGGTGGGAATCAGAAAACCAAATCATTGGGAGTTGGAGTTGGTGCAAAAAAACACTGACTGGTTGTCCAGTGTGCGTATTCGTGGAAACTTGTATCCTACAGTTGGACCTACATTCCCCAAAAATGGATTTTAGAATCTTGGATTGTTAGCCTTGCAGTTGAAATTCTTGGGACAACTGCTGTGCATGGACGTTGCCGAAAAAACACATTGTAGCAAACACAACACATTTATATAATAAACAGTTTTTCGATGTGACCATCAAAAAATGAACAACAAGTCGCGTCTACATTATTTTTCCAGAAACATTTTTTGATTTTGATTTATATTGTCGTTTGTTTGTTTTCTTGCAGGTGGTTTTACTGGTGATGATTGTTTTCATGGGAAATAAACGAACACACGAGTTGCAATTCCAGGTGAAACAACAGTAACTCCGCAAACATGTCAGGCTAAGAGTAAATTTGTTTGCTAATTTCACCCAAACAAGGGCAAAAAACAAAAATCTCAGTTTCACCAGTTTCCTTCTCGGTTGAGCCGTTTTTGGACCAAATCCTTGCAGCCATGGCTCTGATTTCCCGTGGAACTGCTCCCATTTTTCCAGCCAAGGGCCTCGCCCCGGTCCGCCCAACTTGGATTCCTTGGACGCCATGTGGTGACTCAAAGACTTCCAGACCCGTCCTGGCGGCTTTGATCCCAAGCCTCTTGCGACGTGCTCCATGTCGCATGAAACTGAGTTCCCGTACTGGTTCCAAGGATGATGTGTTGCTGGAACTGGAGGTCCTTTTGAAGGCTTGATTCGGGGCTATTGGATTTGGGAGATGATGGGTTTTAATTTTCAATTCTTAAGTTACAACTCAATGGGTTGGTTTTAAAAAGGAATTTCATAAAAACAATGTCTTCAGAAACCAAATTAGGTGGTTTCGGGGGCACTTTCCCTGAAACTCAATTTCTTTTGAGATCAATGCACGGATCTTGGGTGAATTTCTGCCAGGACAAAATGAGGGCCTTGGACATGCTGGTGAGTCAACGGGATTGCAAGGAAGTGTTGGAGGATGATTTGAATTTGGTGGAAGAAATCGCTTCGCTACTGAAACGATTGGTCCTGCATCTTGGTGCAATGTTTGGTTGTGCCCAGCTGGTGGTGGGGCAAGAAGAGCCATAGCGACTGGGAGTGGGAAACAGAACGGGAATTTGAATTTCTGTGTTGTTCCAAATTGGATGTTGAAAAAATGATTGGTTTTGGTTCAGTCAAACAAACTCACATGACTATGGTTCTATGATTCCCAAACTTTGAACTCCAGCGGTCATGTGCATTAGCGCTGGGATCAATGGAATCCTGTTCCTCTGAATCCATTTGATTTGGATGTCACCAGCCGCTGGCCGTTCAGGAGTGGTGGGCGCCCTTCGTTCGCCAGGGCGGAGATCCAACCAAATGTGATGAAGAGGTTGCACTTATTTGAGGGCCGAGGAGTATGCGAGGAGTATGCATTCGTTTCTGGTGGCTTCAAAAAAACACATATATATATATATAAATGTATGTTTATTATTATTATTATTAGTATGAGTACTATTATTATTATTATCATTATTTTATTTTATTTTATTTTATTTTTGTATTGTTCTGTTTTCCTTGAGAAAAATGATAGGATCCGCAAAATCAGCTACCATTTTAAACCTGAAGTCAGCAACCAGGTTTGCATGTCTATGATGATCCATCCGACACCTTCATCCACAACCACCGGAGCAACTTCATCTCTGTAGCCCTGTATGGAAGCTATGTGCCTTGTTTCATCTTGGGCTGTCAAGAATTGTTTTGCTCAAAGAAAGTGAGATTTCCAGTCACTTTCTGCAACATGCATACACATACGTAATATTCATAAATGTGGGCGGGGGTTTCCTGAAATAGGGGTACCCTCAAATACTCCAAAGTTTTGGGATTCCCCATTTTAGGAAACCTCCATGTATATGAATACTCTAACATCTAATACTATATATATATATATTTGTATACATATATATATATATGTATGTATATATATATATGTATAAATATATATAAATGTATATATATATATATGTATATATATATATATGTATATATCTATATAATATATCTATATATGTATATATATGTATGTATATACATATATATATATATGTATATATATATGTATATATCTATATATGTATATATCTATATATGTATATATATATATGTATGTATATACATATATATATATATATATGTATATATATATGTATATATATATATGTACATGTATATGCCTGCGGACCGAAAACCGCGCTCGTAAAACGCACGTTTTCGAATATCGCTATTTTGGGGTGGGGGATGTTAACGTACCTTGTATTTCGTACATGGTCTATTGCTACGCTGCTGCGATCTCTGGGATCATTTTCTACGTTACATGTTGCTACGCTGCTGATGGGGTGGGGTGGGGGGTGGGGGATGTTAACGTACCTTGTAACTTCGTACATGATCCATTGCTACGCTTGCTGAGATCTCTGGGATCGTTTACCTACGTTACATGTTGCTACGCTTGCTGATGGGGTGGGGTGGGGGTGTTGGGGGGGGGATGTTAAGCTAGTCCTGGATGTAATTCGTTACCTGATCTCCATGCTACGCTGATGATGGGGTGGGGTGGGGGGTGGTGCGGGGTGGGGATGTTAACGTACCTTGTACTTCGTACATGATCCATTGCTACGCTGCTGAGATCTCTGGGATCGTTTACTCTATTGGACGTTGTGGATGATCGCCCCTACGTTACAGGTTGCTTCTGCGCTGATGGGGTGGGGTGGGGGGGTGGGGGATGTTAACGTACCTTGTATTTCGTACATGATCTATTGCTACGCTGCTGCGATCTCTGGGATCGTTTTCTACGTTACATGTTGCTACGCTGCTGATGGGGTGGGGTGGGGGGTGGGGGATGTTAACGTACCTTGTACTTCGTACATGATCCATTGCTACGCTGCTGAGATCTCTGGGATCGTTTACTACGTTACGTGTTGCTCTACAACCGCGGTGAGTTTGAGAAGAGAATCTACCGTCGAAATGAGAAGATCAGGTACCATACTGGAACCATTGATGCTGCATGGTCTGCTGTTAAGAACTTCATCCCCAATTCATTGAGTTCAAAAAGCAAAGATCTTCTCTAGTATGTCAAGTGCTGGCAATGGCGATATGTCAATGGACACAGTCGCCTCCAGCAAAAAACTATCTCGACGCTGAAACGCCTGGTCTGACAAAGGATGAAAAAGGGTCTTGCACATTTTGCCAAAAACGCACACGAAACGCAAATTTGGCCAAATTTGCGCGCCCAAATTTGGCCAAATTCTGCCTATCAAACTGTGTGTTTCGCTGTAGCGAAAACAATACTTTTTTTGAAAACGTGCGTTTTGTGAGCGCGGTTTCCGGTCCGCCGGGTAATGTATGTATGTAATGTATGTATGTAATGTATGTAATGTATGTAATGTATGTAATGCATGTATGTATGTATGTATGGGTGGATGGATGGATGGATGGATGGATGTATGTATGTATGTATGTATGTTTACGCACATGTATGTATAGATAGATGTATGATATTATCTGCGAAAGGTAGTTTCACTCTCTCTCTCTCTCTCTGTCTCTTTAATGTATGTGTATATAAAAATATATGTGTGTATATCTATATGCACGTTCTTGAACATTTATCGTTTTTATCATTTTTTTGGGACTCCTTCTTTCCTATCCACCCAAGTCGACCGTGGTCGATCTTCATTCCAGTGCTGGACACACCCATTTTGCTCCGTCTAAAGGTGCACGAAATCTGGTCGACAGGGCAAAAGGGTTTTCACTACACTTTCAACCGCACGAAGGATGTAGAGTTGAAACAAACTGGTGAGAGGCAGGAGGGATGCCTCGTGGTTGCCCACAAATACACTTACAAGGACCGCAGGTTTGTGTTGAAAATTTTTGGTCGGTGGGTCATTTGTAAGGTAGACAGGATCCAATTTGGTTTCCGGCATGACCCCTGCCACCCTGATGCAGGAGGGAGACAATTTTTTTTTGGATGGAAGGACCCCTCACCGTGTCCTTGGCCGTGGTGCAGCCTTGACGTTGTATGTCCGCGGGATGGAGAAACCTTGCGAGACGATTGCGCGTGCTGAATCTGCTACACCGGATTGGCAAGGTGGGATTGTCTCAATTTTTTTTCCATCTCACTCCATCTTGTTCCATCTGATTCCATGATTTAGATATTAAAACCTTCCATTTTCGCCACAATGTGATGCCCATAGACTGGGGATACCCCATCACCGTGTGGAAATGTGAGGTGTGAATCAAAAGGAGTTACTTCTTGATGCTGCCGCTGGTGAGAAGGTGTTGGATGATGCCGTTTGCAAGATGCGTAGCGGGCTTGGGGGAGCGGCACGTTGGGGTTAAAACATTTTCCTGCGGAATCATGGGGATGATTTTTGTTCAACTGTTTCCAGTTGGGATGATTAAAATGTACTTAATGGTTATAGCCATGGGATTGCTTCACCGCCAGAAGTTGGGTTTTCTTGGTCCCCGAAAATTCTTTGGTTTTTTTTATCCGCACATAACTGGAACTGCACCCCCAAGTGTAGCAGTCCATACAATGGCCTGGGGTTGTTTCACTGTCAGAACGGGCGTAGTCTGTCATATTTACTTCATGTCAGTGAAGAAGTTTTTGCTGCCCATGTTGATAAGACTTCAGAAACATCATATACACAGATAGCGTCCCCACTGAAAGTTCTGGACCCTGGCTTAGCTATGCTCAGACAGTGGAGCCACAGGCCAAGGTAGTACGAGCCAAACCTGTGCTGTTTTGATTTTGACCGAAAGTTTTGAGCTTCGTACATCAAAACTATGTACCCCAAACCTGTGTCTGAGAACTTTGTGACCAGTATAATTTCTTCATTTTTGGGACTCGTTTTTTTTTTGGAGGGAGATGTTGACTGAAATCTCGGTTCATTTAAAGCATCTTTCGTGGAGCCCATTTGTGGGAGAGGTTTTTCCATGTGGATCGCTCTGTCGCGCCACAGCTTGAGATGTACAGGTTTTGGGCCCTGGTTGGCCTTTCAAACAATCAGTTTTTCCTCCAGTTCTGCTACCTTCGCGCACCTTAGGGGTGAGTGCCCATACGGCACCGCTCCTATGAGCTGCGGTTTCAGGGAACAGGATGGAGGATCTGCGATTGTGGAAAAAAGTGCGGAAATGGTGATTTAATAATAATAAGATTTGATTTAACGGTGAATTAATGGAGGATAGATGAGGATAGCAGGTCTTATGAAACTTCATGGCATGAAATGACCCAACAGGCAAACATTGCTAATCCATTTCACTTCATAAATACACCCAAAAAAGGACTCCAGAATGAAAAATCCATTCTAAACATTTCTAAACCGGGGGTTTCTAGGGAGGTATTTAATACTAGGGGCAAGAGATTCCGAGTCACCAGTGATTCACTCCAATTCACCAGTGATTCACGAATGAATTCCTCAATCGATTCACGAATAAATTCACCAATGGATTTTCCACTCCATTAACTCATTAACTAATCGATTCGCATGATTCGATTCACCAATCGATTGTACCAATCGATTCTACCGGTCGATTCTACCAGTCGATTCACCAGTTGATTCTCTAATCGATTTACTAAGATTCAGTACGATTCAGTGCGATGAAGTACGATTCACCAAATCCTCCTCCTCCCCCTCTTGTTTTCCACCATCATCATCGTCGTCGTCGTCGTCGTCGTCGTTCTCATCATCATCATCATCATCATCATCAACATCATCATCATCATCATCACCATCATCATCATCATCATCATCAACATCAAAATGAAAATGAATAACAATAATTGACAATAACGATCCTAATCCCTTGCCTTGAAGCAAGTGACTTGGACACAAAGTACCAGCTGTGCTGCACGATGTATCATCAGTTTGTCCAGTTGAGCCTCCTTTTGGTTGCGAGGATGACTCCGCAGCCCATTTCTTCCAGCGTCCTCTCAGTAAGACTGCGCTTTTCCAGTGATACAGAGGGATGTGGCCTCCTCAGCTTGGGCTGCCATGCTTAGATCTTGTGGCAGCCAGTCCACGGGCATGGAAGACTGCTAGCTTGTTGCCAACAAATTAGAATCGCCCCCAAATTCACTGTTTCATGGTCCAATGGTCTAGTTCGGTGTGGGAAACATCCAAACGCCAAGGCGTGTTGTTTCACCCGCTACATGAGCCTCGACTCGTTGAACTTGGATACGTGCAGATCCTAGTGACCCAGGTGACCCAGGTGACCCAGGTGGCCCAGGTGACCCAGGTGACCCAGGTGACCCAGGTGACCCAGGTGACCAATCGATTCAATTTGGGGAGCGCTTATTGGGGATTTCTTACATTTTGAAGGGATCAGAAAAATATCAATAGTGAGTTGGCTCGTCTCATTTACGACTAGTGCTACAACTATGGCTAACCAGGAACCGTCGGGTGATTGGTTCTGGTGATATCCCCAGTCTTGGTGAAATTCCCAGTCTGAATGGTAGATGGCTATCCATTTGTATCTGACAATAAGAAACTAGTGACGTTCGTAAAGCAATAATAGTCGACCATCCTCATTTTTACATAATTTTACCACAAACGAGTGTTATAAACCTTCAAACATGTGGATGGATTATATTGATTTATATAAAAACATCAGATCTTAGTAGTAGATGGAAATAGCCATCATTTAACCATTATTCATTTGACAACTAGATCATCCACCATTTACCAACATAATATTTTGTACTTGACCATACCATTGGAGCATCATCCGCTGAGACCGATCCCTGAGGGCCTGCTACTTGGTTCATGGCACCAACTTTGTTGTGTCGAAGAGGCCAGCGGCTTGTGGCCGCTGAACTTGGAGGTGATTTTTTGTGATTTTTTGTGATTCAGGTGACATGTTGAAAAATTGGGGAATTTGCAATTTCTGGAAAATTTCTGGAAAGTTTCTGAATTCCATGTTTCGTCATTTTAAACCATTTTGAAGGGATATTTCCATTACCCGGCAGGTACTCAGTGCTAGAGCAAGTGGGTCAAGGGGCCTATGGCATCGTTTGTGCAGCTCAGGCAGGTGATTTGAGGCCAAAATCGTTTGGAAAGAGAAGACATGGACCAATGAACCGGTATTTTGTTGAGATTTTCAGTACAAACCATTATAGATTATAATATATTATATATAATGCATAATATATGAAATCTATAGATTATATCTATAGTTACTATTATATATAAAAGTTATAGATTATAAACATGCATAATCCATCCGAATCCATCACATGTTTGAAATGTATTTTTGAATTATTGAGGAAACATTCCATGCATATGGTAGACATTCGGTTGAGTTTCTGGCAGGTTGAGTTTCTGGCAGTTCATCTCCCCGGAATGTGCCGGCAGGATGAGGAGACCCAGGAGAGCGTTGCCATGAAGAAGATTGAGAATGCCTTTGAGCACATCACCTGTTTGGGAGCCCAGTATGCTGAGTTCACCCCATGGAAATAGGCTTTGTCACGGCAAATCTCCAAGAAAACGAGGCTGATCTAGTTTTCGTTTGCGATGCAGGCTCATTCATTTGCAGCGTTCCCAACTTGCCTTCACAGCTGAGTCAAATAATTGCCATGCATAGTCCCTTCCCCAACATTCAACAACCCCAAACGAGCCCCAGGTTTACATAGTATTGGATCTCCATGGGTGGTCAAAATTGGATACCCTAAAATTAGATGATTTACCCCTAAACATGGACGAAAATGGTTCCCTGAAATCTGAAACATTGACCCAGAGCCATCTGAATTTCCAACTAGTTTGTGTTGACAAATCAGTTGTCTGAAACCTGAGAAGTTCTGATGTTCAAACTATCTGATAAGCACCTAGGGTACCCTCCATTAACCCATGATGCTTATCAGATCTTATCAGCTTACCGCAGTCACGAAGCGCACTCTCCGGGAGCTCCGGATCTTGCGGCACCTGCGACACGAGAACCTCATCGATGTGAGGCGCGAACCGCCGAATCGCCGAACCGCAACGGCCGCCACGTGGCGGTGGGGGAATGGGATGGTGGGCCAATCTATGGTGGAAAAATATGAACTGAGGATGTCACATTCACATTTAAGTTGAGCCAGCTGATGCAGCCTTGGTTTCTGGAATGTCCTGTCTTTGTTTCTTAACGACACGTTTTTTGGGTCCCATTTTTGGTGAGCCGAATCTGGGAATCCTCAGCAGTCCCTTGAGTGTTGCCCCCAGATCCCATATGGTTTTTGTCGCTATTTTCCCGATTCAAATAGCCATAAATTCTATCATGATTTTCAGCTAAACCCAAATGGATGTTGATTAATGTTTATCTAAGAATTCTTGACCATTTGTGGATCCGTTGGCACCTAGACAATGGTTGTTGTAGATGCCCGGCCTGTGATCAAAGCCATGAGCTGAGCCGTTGATAGGTTGACCATTCGGGAACTGCAAAGCCTGCAACCATCTGCAACTGTTTTCAGAGTTTGGACGCCAAAAACATATGGGTCGCAAGCCGCAGAAAATAGACGAGTTTTTCTGAAAGTGACAGGAGAAAGCTCCCAGTGAAGTGGGGCGTATGGGCAACAGCCCTTGCCTCCCAAAGTGAAGCAGCACATCCAGATTGTGATTCGGTATCGTGTCACATCCACATTCACCACCTATGTCCAGGGTAGATCATGTTGCATCATGCCTTGTTGGAAGGGGAGGTCGAGGCCAATGGGCACGAGGACCTCGTGGATGAAAGCTTTGTGTTCGATCAAACTAACGTCTGTAGCAGATTTCAGAAGATTTCTATCTCAACTTTTTGGTGCTTTTCTTTCCAAGGATTCCAAGGTTTGTTTGATATCTGATATGTGCCGATTTTTTGCGGTTTCATGCCAACCTCTGGCAAAATAAACTATCCTTGGGTCTTGGAGTTGGAGAGTCCACTTACCCTGGCGGAATTGAAATCCCCATTTTCAGTTGGCAAGTCTCTCCGTAGCTTCACTACTTCTAGCCCTTTTACTTTGTGAAACATCCCTATGAGGTGAGGCCCGAAAAGTTATGTTTGTTGCTTTCTTTCAACCCATTAGCTACTGTAGTTATAGAACCAGTTTCATACTACAGTTATGGTATAGTTGTGTTTGTTGCTTTATAATCCTCTGAATCATATGGGAATAGTTCTATCTTAGTTTTATAGAACTAGTCATATTAGAACATTTAGAACCAGTATTGGACTATGAACTAATCCTATTCTAATCCTGAAGACTATAGTTCTCCTTGTTCTATCCCCTCAACCCCTCCTCCAGGAGGGCCGTTGGAAGCCGAGTCCACGGCTGTCGCGCACCTTTCGCACCGTCTCGGTGGATCACGAGGATCCACTGTCGCACGAAGAGAGATCCAGCAGCCCGGCGACCGTGTATCGGATAGTATAAGTGGTTAGTAAATGGGGGGTTATATCATATTTAACATCATATTTATATCATATTTATATCATATTTATATCATATTTATATCATATTAACATCATATTTATATCATATTTATATCATATTTATATCATATTTATATCATATTTATATCATATTTATATCATATTTATATCATATTTATATCATATTTATATCATATTCATATCATATTCATATCATATTCATATCATATTCATATCATATTCATATCATATTCATATCATATTCATATCATATTCATATCATATTTATATCATATTTATATCATATTTATATCATATTTATATCATATTTATATCATATTTATATCATATTTATATCATATTTATATCATATTTATATCATATTTATATCATATTTATATCATATTTGTATCATATTTATATCATATTTATATCATATTTATATCATATTTATATCATATTTATATCATATTTATATCATATTTATATCATATTTATATCATATTTATATCATATTTATATCATATTTGTATCATATTTATATCATATTTATATCATATTTATATCATATTTGTATCATATTTGTATCATATTTATACCATATTTATACCATATTTATATCATATTTATATCATATTTATATCATATTTATACCATATTTAACATCATATTTATATCATATTTATATCATATTTATATCATATTATCATATTTATATCATATTTATATCATATTTATATCATATTTATATCATATTTATATCATATTTATATCATATTTATATCATATTTAACATCATATTTATATCATATTTATATCATATTTATATCATATTTATATCATATTTATATCATATTTATATCATATTTATATCATATTTATATCATATTTATATCATATTTACATCACTAATGTTAGAACAACAATAGTAAATCGTTATGCATTTTACTGTTAAATATCACTGTTTCAATTCGTTATTTTCCAGTTCTAAACGGATATCATTCTGGCATCGGCTTCTGTGGGATGATAGTTCCGTGGCTAACCGTGTTTTTTTGGTGACCATTACTTAAGGTGAAGCAATTGATGATATAAAACTAAGAAGAATGGGATAATAGGGGATATATATATACTGTATATACTGTATATATATGATATATATATAACTAACGAAGATATAGCTGATCTCGACTCAAACCGGATCATGTGGATGTTTTGTTGTTTTTTACTTCGCCAAACATTTTCAGTTGTGGATATTCTTGGACAGGCCATGGGGATCTGGCAAAAACCGTTAGAGACAAGGTCCATTGCCATATTGGTTCTGGGATGCAACACGAAGATCTAAGGTGATGTACACATATGTATACTGTAAATGACATGTATATACTGTATATTAATTATACATTCATGCAGTTCATGCACATTGTTATATACACATGTATACTGTGTAAATCACGTATAGGTCCTATAGGTACTCACAGACACATACCACCCATTCAAAATGTTTATGACCCGGGGCGGGATTTGATTTTCAGTTGAACTTCTCTGAGGTATTTTGCAGGAGATTCCCGCTCTCAGTGTAGCAATGTTGATGAGCGCTATCAACGCTGTCAGCTATGGTATTTGGGCGGCACTTGGTGAAACAAACTGTGATGTAATGGGTCTTGATCGAGCTATTATATATTGGATGCAGCTGAGAATGCAACAATGAATGACTGGCGCTCAAGCTGAATGAATCTAGCTGTAGTGAGTCAGTTGGGTACCCTCGCCAGGGACGCTTTGGCCACCAACTTCTGGGGACTAGGCTGCCCAGCCCACTGTCAAGGGTCCTCCATCCCTGCTATCCTCTGTGCCTTCATCCTTGGATTTCTCTGTGGAATTGTCCTCCTGCTTTGCCTTTGGATTTGGCTTCATCAATCTCCACCGCTTACCCTGTCACCTTCTCCTGTCATCCTTGCCCAGCAAGCTGCATCAAACTTGAGGAGTCGGCTTCAGGGTTATCGCCCTGCTCTTTATGAGCAATCCTGACCCTGCCGTGGACAGGCTGGTTCAGGCTCTCAATAGACTTACTTTGGCCATTGAGGGGAAAAACGGCGGCAAAACAGGAACTGAGTGGGAGCTCATTGCGGAGGAGGGAGAGGCATCAGAGCCAACAAGTGGGACAGCAGGTGGATCAGGCCAAAATAGCCACATTGCCTTTGGGGACTACAATTCTTTTGCTGAGAGGCTTCCTGATTGTCCTGGGCGTCTACTGGGCCTGTGTGCAAAGCTGCGGGGAGGGTCTTCCTCCTCAGACTACCGAGCAAGACGTGCTTGGGAGTCAGGATATTGGGCATCTCTTGTTCGAGCAGGGCGTCTGGAGAAACCCAGACAGTCATTGCCCATTGATCTTCGCCCCACGGTGTACATCATCCTGGCGGCACCAGGTTTGTCAGAGCCTACCAGGGTGGGGTCAGCTTCAGACCTGTACCGTATTACCGGACGGCTGTCCGACACAACATTGTGCCACGGCTTTGGCCGAGGCTGAGGTGTATTGCGCAGGAGCAGGAGTACCTTTGCCAGCCCCTCATCGGTGGCAATGAATCTTGGAGTGGAGCATGGAGGTCAAGATCCGACAGAGGTGGTCTTGCTTTGGCCTCCCGATGCTGGTGCGCTTCAGCATCAGGTGCAAGCTTTCATACTTATGAGACGGCCAGGGGGAGTCTTGGTCGCCGTTCCAGATGGTGTCATCGAGGAAGAGAGCTTTGCAGCATGGGTTTCAACAGAAGATGGTACCGAGCCTTTGGTTGGTCCTTCCAGAGTTTTTCAAGTGCCAATGTGGGTGACAGGCGAAATGGGAGGTTTGGTCATTGGCGAAGGTTTGGCTGCAGTGAGGGTTCTAGATATGAGCCTCCCCGGGGTGGGAGGACTTTTACAACCCATGGGAGAAGATTTGGAGTTCGACCTTATGAATTTGTTTCAGGTATCAGATCCAGGTGCTCATCCAGATTTTCAAGATCTGCTCTCTCAGGTCCGTCTTTGGATAGACACCGACTTGGGGGAAAGGTCAGACTTTTACACTGCAGACGAAGCGGAGATCGTAGAAGCAGAAAGCACTCCCAAGACCAAGACTCGAGCGAGAGGGCCCGGAACCAATCCTGGTGGCACTACCGAGCCAGGAAAAGCTCCAAGTGGCGCAAAGCAGGGTCAGAAGAAGCCGACAGTTGCAGGTTTGGCTCAGCAGTTGGAGGTGGTCATGAGTGCGCTCCCAATGATTACAGACCAGTTGACAAATCTGGCTACTCAGCAAGCAGTCATCCAAAAGCAAATGGGAACTCCCCCGGCTCCGTCGACTGCAGAGGGTTTCAGGGCAATGGCACCTGGGAAAGCTTCTATGCCCATCTCTTCAATGCTGGCTCGTCCACCTTTAAGGCCAACGAGTTCCTTGGCTGGGCTGGTGGGACCCCCTCCGAAGACAAAGGGGCTCGCACCTATTATGCCAGCTGCTGTGGGCCCTTCGAATCTGGATGGCGAACCATGGGAACCCGTGGACGAGATGGAGGCGGACCGAGATGTTTCCCCAGTTGCCAAAGCACTGTTGGAACAGAGCAAAGCGCTAGCAATGCTTGTATCTCACTTCCACATGGCTGGTTCCGATCCTTTTGCAGACCTTTCCTCTTCCACTCCCACAATGGGCGTAAAGGGCACTGCGGCAAGAGAGCGCATGCAGAGGGAACTGGCACAAGGTTCAGGACAGTTCTTTGTCAAGGTGTGTCAAAGCATTCAACGCAGGATGTCCCCTACGTCGAAGTTGGCAGCAAATCTTACAGAGACTGGCGATGTGTCGCTGTTGGCCTACCTAGAAAGGTATGGGGGCTATGGTCAAAACAGAGAGCTTGGCATGGTGCAATGGTCGCTAGGTCACGTCTTCGATGCAATGGCAAAGGGAGACATGGACCTCGCCAAGGACCACTTGGCGTTAACGGTGGTCATGGTGGAGCAGGCTGCCGTGGACAACAACAGGTGGCAGTTGGCTTGGCTCCTCCGCCTTTTGGACGACCCGCCTCAAAACTTGTGGATCAACAGAGGCCAGACGGCAACGGGGTCCAAGAGGCCTTTTGCGCCTATGGCGCCACAGACCTGGACCACCACTGCTCTAGCGTATCTCAAAGAGGCGGATCTGTTGACCTCCAAGAAGTCCGAGGTGTTGGGCAATCAGAAGACTGCAACCGACGATGCGCCTTCAGCAAAACCAGCGCCCAAGAGGAAACCAGGAAAAGGTGGAAAGGGAAACCATGCAGCCAATCAGAACCAAGCAGTCTCCAGTGCGGAGACATGACTCAATCCTTGGGTTCAGTGGGAAAGGGGGGAGTAGGTTCAAGTCCAAGTGACCGCTGTTACTCGAAAGCTCCGGACCCACTGGACCCTGGGATTGGTGGAGGAGGTGGAGACAAACTACAGTTCGAAGGTGGCAGAGTCAGAGCGATGCCGCTGCAAGTACAGAGGCCCCTGCATCCACAACTGAAACGTAGATGTGGTTTTGGAGCCAAAAAATTTGATTACCAGCTTCAAGAGATTTTGGCTGGGAATTCATCTGAAGGGTCTGGGCAAGAAGGAGGTGAAGTACCGACCGGAGCAGAACTTCCAGCTTTCAGTTTTTCCTTCAAAACATGGTGCATGTCATTGACCCGTTGGATTTTGGCCTCACGAACAAGCTTCGGCCGATTCCTCGGGTCCACTCTTTGCCTTCATCGGGACGGGCCTTCTGCCCCCCCTACCGCTTTGTTTCCCTTGCCAGTTCCTGATGGGAAAGCGTTTGCAGGGTGCCCTGGGTCAGCAACACAAGACTGCTCGTATGAGACGGCAGTCAACAGAGCATTACATGTGGTGATTTGTGCATTGAATTTTTGTTATTCATCACGTGCTTGCCCACCGTTGGAGTTGCTCAGGAGGCAGCCAAACCGGCTTCAGACAGAAGCCATTGAGCGTTTGCGGCTGCTCATCAAAGCGTGTGATCATGGCAAGCCCATCCAAGTGGCTTCAAGTGGTCGGAAAAATTTGCAGTTAATGGCGCGCCTTCAAGAGCTCGCATTGGCAGCAGATGCATTGGGTCTTTCGTCGAGCCCATACCATGAGGACATCAAGCCGGCGGTGGTTCAGCCTGACAACAGTCTTCATCCTCAGCTCAACCCCTTTTCAAATTTGAATCCTGACAGATTGAAACTGACGGGCAGAGCAAATTGGGAGGCATTTCAGTTTTTGGAACCGGAGTTCTACATGCCCTTTCAGGAGCCTCAGTCCATCGAGCTGGAGAAGCCAATTATGTCCAGGGGTACTCCGATTTTTTTGGTAGACCCCCCAGAGACGGTGTTCCGGCTGTTTCAAAAGTGGGATTCTTTGGGGCTGCTTGAGCTTCATCCGGTGTCAACAGTAACTACTGGAGAGTCAGGTAGGGTGAAGATTTTCAACAACTACAAGTCAGCCGAATGCGATAGACAGATTGGAGACCGTCGAGAGCGCAATGCCTGGGAAGGCCGTATCCCAGGACCATCGGCAGCATTACCCTTAGGCACCATGATCGGGCGTCTTGCTGTACCTGCAGGCATGGGATTGAAGGTTTGTATTACTGACAGATCAGACTATTACCATCAGCTAGCAGTAAGCAGCGAGAGGAGCAGAGCAAATGTTGTTTGGCATCCTTTTCCTTTGGGCAAGTTTTTGGAGTTTCAAGCATACAAGGCTTATTTGCAGAAAGCCAAGACTCGACAGAAGGTTGACCGCACAGTTCATGGAGATGAGTTGGACGGTGTGAGGCCGATGCGTTTTGGCCTTGGTCATGAGGAACCTGTTTTTGGTGCGTTTAAGGCAGTGCTGCAGGGGGACCATCTTGGAGTTGAGATAGGGATCAGTGCTCATGCGGGCTTGTTGCAGGCCAGTGGACTTTTGCAGGACAAGGGGAGGCTGCTTTCGAAGAAGTTGATACGATCCTCTCCTGTCTATGAAGGCCTGGTCATTGATGATTACTTTGCTATAGCCCCTGCTCCGGTCTCTTCTCTGGAAAAACGGGATGAGCCCAGCGAAGCACGGAGATGCTTTGATGCAGCGAAGAAGGTCTACCTTCGAGAAGGTTTGAAAGGTTCTGATCAGAAGGACATCATTGATGAGCATGTTGCGACAGTTGTTGGAGCAGAGATAGATTCAAGACCTCAAAATGTGCAATGTGGAGTCTTGCCAGTTGGGGCTCCGGCTTCAAAGCGCTTGGCCTTGTCCTGGATTGCAGCTATGGCTTGTAGATATCCTTGCACTACAGATGGTTTGCACTCATCTCTTTTGGGTGCGTTGGTGTCATCTTTTTGCTTCAGAAAATGTTCGATGTCCGTGCTGGTCGAGCTGTTTAAGGTGATCCCGGCCACAGAGCTTGATGTCAGCAGGCCGAAACTACGTCCTCTCAAGAGGGCAGCAGCTGAGGAATTGGCATTAGCTGCGGTGCTGCTCCCCATCATTGTGAGCGATGTGAAGATGCCATTTCACTCTTGGCTCTACGCGACAGATGCCTCTATGGCAAAAGGGGCTGTGTGTGTTGCACCTCTAGAACCGCCTGTGCAAGAACCACTTTGGCAAGCAGGGGATTTCAGAGGTGGTCATGTTGACCTAGAGACCTGGCAGCACCAGCTTGTCAGAGAAAGCGCTCGCGATGATTTGGAGCGAGAGGAGATTGCAGAGGACCATGCAACAGCAACCTTTGCAGAGGAGCCACAAAAGACGGGAGCAACAGTGTCCCGGCCTCTTGCACAGTACTTTGATTTTATTGAAGTCTGCGGAGGATCTGGGGTTGTGTCAGAAGCAATGCACAGAAGAGGTTTTACAGTTGGGCCCATCATTGATATCAGCTACTCCCCACAGTACGACCTGGTCAAGTGGGAGGTCGTTGAATGGTTGATTTTTCTCATCCAGAATCATCGAGTGAAGGGCATTTGTTTGGAGCCTCCCTGCACAACCTTTTCAGCTGCTGCTTATCCTTCGGTGAGGTCATACGCAGTTCCCCAGGGTTACAACAGAAAGCTTCCGAAAGTGTGGTTTGGGAACAGGCTTGCTTTTGCATGTTTGATCCTGCTCCTTGTGGCTTTGAGGGCGGAGATTTTTGGTCTTTTGGAAACTCCTCGCAGGTCAAAGATGGCTTGGTTGAAAGCTTGGAGGTTTCTGTTGACTTTGTTTGGCATTGAAGAGACCTACACTTCTTCCTGCGCATATGGGTCGGTTTTTCAGAAGGAGTTCAGATTTTTATCATGCAACATGCGTACCTCGTCTTTGTGCAAGCCATGTACGCGAGACCACAAGCATGTTAGGATTCAGGGCTCCCTCACGAAAGGATCAGCAATTTACACGCCTGGGCTTGCAGAAGCAATTGCAGAGTTGTTTGCAGCTCATTTGAGGTTTGAGAAGAGATTGAGGCGAGAGCAGCATGTCGAGGTAGGCGGTCTTGAATCTCCTCTTGTCAATGAGGTGACAAAAAGGTCAGACTGGAAAACAACCTCATGTTGGACATGGAAAGGAAAATCCCACATCAACGTTCTGGAGTTAGCCAGCGTTTTTCAAGCAGTCAAACAAGCTGCGAGAAAGGGAGGCGGGAGAGTGAGTTTGCTGATGGACTCTCATGTTTCAGCAAGAGCCACCGCCAAAGGGCGATCTTCAGCAGCAGCCCTGATCCCACTTCTCCGAAAGATCATGGCAATTTCCTTTGCATTTCACATGATGCTGGCTGTTCATTTCCTGCCAACACGCTTGAATGTTGCTGATGATCCTACAAGAAATGTTAGAGTTCGTGACAGGTATGAAGGATCATCATGGTTTGACCAGATGTCAGAGGAGGAGGTTTTTAGAGCAGCAGAGCTACCAACCATGAAGACATGGGCAAGCAATTGGATTTCCTTGTGCCTTGGACTTATGGCCAAACACCATCTCCCTTTTGCTGCCTTGAGCTTGCCTCACCACCGCCAAAGCTCTAGCCTGCCTCCTGCTTATCTCTATCAGCATCTCTTGGACTTTGATGCCTCTCTCGGTTTCCCTGGCGAGGGTCCTAGGTGTAGTCCCCTATTTTTCGTAGTGTGGATTTTGCTTAGTAGCGTCGCTGTAGCCCCAGTGAGCCATGGAAATCTGGTCCGCAACAAAGATGACCTTGCAAGAGCTGCCAAACGCATGTCGCGACCGTTGCAAAGTGGAAGACCTGTCGAGCAGGTTACTCGGACAAACCGCGAGCGGTTACTGGAGTGCTTTGCGGAATGGTTGGCTGGCAAAGGCGAGAATTTTCCTTCGCTGTTGGAACTGTCATACAGAGAGCCCGAAAAGATGGTGACACAGCTAGTCAGCTATGGACGGGAGTTGTATGCATCAGGCAGACCATACAACCACTATGTGGAGACGGTCAACGCGGTGGCTGCTGCGAAACCCACGATTCGGCGGCTTCTGACGGGTGCTTGGGATCTGGCTTTTAGCTGGCAACGAGAAGAGCCAGGGGGCCATCACCTGGCATGTCCGTTTCAGATTCTTCTGGCAATTCTGTCGGTGAGCATCCTATGGGGCTGGCCATGGGTTGCTGGATCGATAGCCTTATCGTGGGGTGCAATTTGTCGCATTGGAGAGGTGCTACAATCTTGCAGACGTGACCTTGTGCTGCCTCAGGATGTGGGTTACACTAGTTGTTCCATTTTCCTGAGGGTCAAAGAACCAAAAACACGTTTCAAAGCTGCAAGGCATCAGATGTCGAAACTTGATGCAGAAGATCTGGTTCAACTGGTGTCACTGGCTTTTGGATCAAAGCGCGCTGATGAAAAGCTTTGGCCTTTTTCCGGACAGCTGCTGCGAACGAGGTTCCGACAAATCCTTCGTGAGATTGGGTTGCCATATGATTCAAATGGCATCAACAGAGGCCTTGACCTAGGCTCCCTCCGCGGAGGAGGAGCAACATACCTTTTAATGCTGACAGAAGACTCAGAGCTGGTGAGAAGAAGGGGTCGTTGGATTGCACCAAGGACCATGGAAGTTTACCTTCAGGAGATAGCTGCTACAGTTTATTTTCCTCAACTCCCCAGTGCGTTGAAGGCTCGAGTGCTGGCCTTAGCCTCAGCCTTTCCTGGTCTTCTAGCACGCATGCAGGTGCTTGTCAAGGCGAAAGTTCCGGCGGAATCCTGGCATTATTTTTTTCAACAGAATGAAGCAGATGGAAATGTTGGGAAAAGCTGGGAGGAAGTGGTAGCGAGGCACACACGTGCTACGCAGAGAGGACAAACCCAGAATATGGCAGGAGTGAAAGAGGCGCTTGAGCAGCTATATATATTATATATATTTATATATATATATTTATATATATTTATATATATATATATATTTATATATATTTATATATATTTATATATATTTATATTTATATATATATATATATTCTGATATTTACGTACTGGCATATCATGTCTCGAAATGGGATCCCTTCGGCTCAGCCGACCACTGCCCAACCCAGGCCCCCCCAGGTACCTTGCTCTTCGCAACTCCATTCACCGCCACAGCGCCCAATGGCACGGTGATTTGGATTATGAGTACCATTGGCGCCCAGATTGGTATGGTGCTGGTGTCCAATGTGCAGAATGGCATCTCCTGCCCCATGCTGGCAGCTTGGAGACGGGGTAGGGAACTGAGCCATGTTTCAGTGGCATTGTCCGGCAAGGTTGGGCCGTCTTTGGGAAAGGGTTGAGAGGTACATTTACCACACTCACTTGGATGAGTTTTTCCATTTTTGCTATGAGTCAAAATTGGACTGATACCCACATACTGGCCATTACCGGCCCATATCCACATCGTCTCAATGTCAAGATGTTGCTGGTGATACAGTTGGCTTCCTGCAATTCCGAGGAGATGATTCCCATGATGCACTCCACGTTTTTGAATATCGCTGCCAAGATGCCTGAAGCAGATGCAGAGCAGCTACAGGCGACCTGCCTGGCCAGTTGCTTTGCTCCTGGGATCAATTTCATGTCAGGCCGTGGCAGTGTCAGGTGAGGGGTTGGGGGTTGTAATCCAGATAGTACCGTGGTAGGGTCATATACAGACTGTTGGGCGCAGAATCAGAAGTCAGGATTATAATGATTACAATCCCCAATGACGAAGTTGTAATGCGAGTTAGGGAAGTGGAAGTTCCCACCAAAGGTCGGTGCACCTTTTTCACAAGGAAACCAAAGGACGCGCCGCTGCAGTTTCATGACTTCCCAGGCGAAACTCCAGTTGGGGTAGTGTTAGTAAAACAATAGCAAACCATCCCCAATTTAGCCATTTTGATGGGTGGTAGAAACCATCAAAATATATGGATTATTGCTTCACTAGCATTACATGGGATACAATGGGATAATAACCATCAAACAATATCAAACAATCAAACATGGGGATTAAACCGTATTTAACCAACAAACATCCAGTTGGGGTATGGTTTTAACCTGCTACAACACAGTTAACATGCCAGCCCCGGACCAAGGTATGTACCTTGACCATCGGTGCGGGGCTGCTGATTGGCACACGCCTGGGCCTGGCCAGCTATCTTCGTGCTGTGCCGTTGATTGTTCTCAAAGGCTGGGGGAAACACTCAACGGCACAGCCTAAGATATCCGGTGGATTGGAAACCAATCTTCCCAATTAGTGCCATAATTTGGGGGATAGATCTACCACTTCTGGATTTTTTTTTGGCTGAAGGGTTTCCAGAAAATGACAGATCGAGGCCAAACGGACCAAACTGTGGTTGAAAAGTGTGGTGAGATCGTTTAACACGGATTGGTCTAAATTGGCTTTTTTTTTTTTCTGAATCAAATTCCATTGGCTTAGCCCCAGATTGAATTCTTTAGAAATCAGTCCTCCAAAGATGATGCATGTACCACATCTGACTGAACCTTTCGTGACGCCATATGGATCAACCTTCTGAACAGGTGTGGCCTTCCACCCTCCAATGACTTGCTCCAACTCATTATAGGTAAATGATATCCACATTGTAGGGGTTTAATAGGTCATTTTACCCCTATATCTAGCCATTTTACCCCCCCTAACAACCCGTCAGGTGCTCTGTTTGGGGTGGCGCTCTTTCTGATGTCCAGCTGTTTGACGGTCGCCACTGGTGATAGCACCAGCTCCCTCAGCGCGACCTGGCAGCTGTGGGCTCCAGCGGTGCTGCTGGGGCTCACGCTCTTTGCCATGGATGAGGCGAGGTTTTCCGAGGGAAACGTGACTCCAAAGAACGGCCCGAACTGGAATGGTTTCACCGGCTACTAATACTAAAATAGATGATCAAAACGTAGGATATTCTGATCGTCAACAGTTTTCTTTTGGGGAAACACTAAAACGGGGCTGTACACGTGGGATCCACAATGATAATACCCAAATTGGGGTGTATTATTGCGAATACTCTTGCTTGGCATGATTTACCATACCTCTACATGGTTGAGAATTTGGTCCAGCCAGCTGTTTGGAGCTCATCATGCCCTGATATCATAGGAACTGGGACAATCCCTGGAGTTGTTTTTCTTCCCTTCTGACAGCGGGCTTACAGCGGGTCATAAATTAGAGTCATGGAACCTTGTACAGTCGGCGAATTTGCAGATTTGCACCCTCAGTTGCTCCTTAAATAGGAAAACATCCAAGAGGTGATGGTTTCCTTATCAGGAAACATTTGTTCTATGGGTGTATTGCAAGCTGCACATCCTCCGCTGAAACTGCAAACGTTGTTTTGCAGAGGCAATCCATTCGCCCGTTGTCATTTCGCTAAGCTCCTTGGTTTCTTATGGGTGATATTGTGACATGCCAAATCATGGCGGAAGGTCCTATTTCCTTGTGCAGCATTAACCGATTCTTAGAATCTCTTAGAAAACCTACAGTACCATTTCTGGGAAGTAATTGGGGATGCTTGTGGTTTTGCCATGGTATTCTGTTCAGTTTGAAGATGTAGACGTTAGGGCGGTAACCCGCTAGGAATTTTGGCAGGTTTGGCAGTTTTCAGCTGCTCAACCTTGAACTTTAGATCAAAAATCTCCCCATCCAGAAGAGACAGATTGAGTCTTTTGGAGCAAACAGAGCCCCCAGGTTTGCTGCTGGTTGGCATGATTCCTACCTGTTTGGATCTCTTGAAGCTCATTCCGCTCAGCGAGCTGCAAGAGAAGGGCTGGTGTTTCCAGCGCCAACAAACAGCGAGTGCAGTCTGGAGACTTGGCCCTTCAGACGTGTCAACCGTTTTTTTGGGGGATGCGTCAACAATAAGCACCCACCCAACCACCCAAAGCAGGGTAGATTCACATTTTTTGGGGAGATTCACCAGGAGACCAGGGTTTTGGCACCATGGATGACTTGCAGGATCCCACCTCGTTGACAGAGATTTATGCATAATCAGTGTATGAGCCTCAGGTGGTCCCCGATTTCCATAGCTCTTTGATGTTGGGTATTTTTGGACAACCAGCTTGAAGTAGATACTCACCTTCAGTCTTTTTGACAAGCTACCTACTATAGGCTAATCCAAGTAATTGTCTGTCTTTGTGATCGGCAAATGCTACAACTTGATAGATCTTGAGCCATCATTGCCATCATTTTGGACTTTGACCATATCCATTCCTGGGGATGATTTCTTGCCGCAGATGGCACAAATCGGTTTAGGGTTCGGGTTGGATTAATCAGTGCCCTCAACTGGATCCGTTCTTTTACATAGCCCTCAGGTTGGTCAAAATTACCACCATTCTTTACTGCATGAGTCTCCAGCTCCTTGTCAAATCCCTCACTTTTCCGGGTTAAAGCGCTGATTTTGCTGACTCCACAGGTACCTGCAGGTGGCGGACGCCTACAGGTCCGCGCTCTTCCGCATCGACTGGATGGTGATCCTTGAGATCATGCCTGCCATGGTGGGCATCGCGGCTTCCGCGTCCTTGTTGATGCGCCTGGGCGGCCGGGAATGGCACGGAAGGGAATGGCTGTGGATTTGGTGAATTTCTCGAACTTTTTGGTGAATTTGTTGCGCTTGGCGGGTTCAGCTTTCCATTTTTTTCTGCCGGTGTTTGGGGATCTATCACCATTGCGTCATGAAGAAACCCATCGACCTGATCGCTGCTCAGGTTGATGGATTTGAAGGCGGTGGAACTGTTGACCGAACGAGAATTCAGCTTAGACAAAGAGCTTCGGAGCATCGGAGTGAGCAATCTCATCAGTGCCCTCTGTGGCATGGCCATTGAGTTCCACGGGGTGAAGCAACAAACATGGTACATACAGACAGAACACTTGTTCATGATTTTCTTTCCCAAAAAATTATAGGGCTTCCAGTAGAACAGGTCATTTAAGCCAAGGTATGCTTGATTTTTCAAGGGAAATTCGACTGGCAATGGAAAAGCCTTGGCTTTTCGACACAGTCCAGGGCGATGAACGACACAGCTGAGGTGGCGGCGGCTTTCCCTGCTACATCCTTTGTTCCTTAAACGTGACATGCCATCGCCTTGGTGGTCGTAGCAAGGTGATTGGAGTGCCTTGGTTTTTTGGGGGACTTCCCCACGAAACAGTCCCAACAAACAGTCCATGTTTGTTCGTGGAGTTCGCCATGTTTGCTGTTTTGGCTATAAAATCCCATGATTTCTCATTAAAGTACCATGAAAAATCACATTAAATCACCATCTTTGTTGGTGAAATCATCATTCTCCCATTCCAATGGGGTCCAATGGGTTTTCATTATCCAAGGTTGGACTGATCCTCAGCTCCACCTGTTGCCTCTTCGTGGTGTTCAACGTGGTCCCCCGTCTTCCCAGGGCCTTGCCAGGGGGTCTCTTTATGTGGCTGAGCCTGGTATTCGCCAAGGAGACCATTGTGGACATATGCTCCAAGCACCTCATGTCAACAGCTATGCATAGCTATGCATAGCTATTCTGTTTTGGCTTTTGGTCTGATTCCCTGCGAGTGAATTCACAGGGGAGTTCAAAGATGACAAAGAAAGCTCAGAGCATTCAGACGTTCTTTTTTCTGAGATTTGGAATCACTTCTGCATCTGTTTCTCAACAGCTTCCCACTTGATTGGTCATCCAATTTTTTGGTCCGTTGATGCCCCCAATCAGCAGCCTCAGCTCCCAAGGTACACCCACATCTCAGATGTTTTCACCGTGGCCGCCATGGCCTTGGTGGTGAAGTTCTACAGCTTCAACGATGGGTTGATGCTGGGGACCCTGCTGGCCATGACGTTTTTCACGCTGCGCTACAGTGGCACCCAGGCGGGCGTGAAGACCGCAGGAGACGCACGTGGCTTGGGTAGCAACGGCGGGCCTTTTCGGACCGAGATTCTGTTGAAGAGTATGCAATTTTATAGATGTCAAATATATGATAATTCCCAACAGCAGGGCCTGTTGGGTTTCAATCTCTAGGGCTGGGGCTGGCTCGCGGGGACTTGCAGCCTTCAAAATCCGGAATGGAACCTGGAACCCTGGAACCCTGGAACCCTGGAACCCTGAAACCTTGGAACCCCGGAACCCTGGAACCCTGGAACCCTGGAACCCTGAAACCTTGGAACCCCGGAACCCTGGAACCCTGGAACCCCGGAACCCTGGAACCCTGGAACCCTGGAACCCTGAAACCTTGGAACCCCAGAACCCTGGAACCCTGGAACCCTGAAACCTTGGAACCCCGGAACCCTGGAACCCTGGAACCCTGAAACCTTGGAACCCCGGAACCCTGGAACCCTGGAACCCCGGAACCCTGGAACCCTGAAATCCTGAAACCTTGGAACCCTGCGACCGTGGAACCCTGAAACCTTGGAACCTTGGCACCCTGGAACCCTCAAGGATTCTGGAACCCTGCAACCTTGGAACCCTGGAACCTTGGAACCCTGCGACCGTGGAACCCTGAAACCTTGGAACCTTGGCACCCTGGAACCCTCAAGGATTCTGGAACCCTGCAACCTTGGAACCCTGGAACCCGGACCTGGACCATGCTGGGATCCTGGCCCTGAACCTTTGGAACCCTGGAAGCCTTGGAACCCTGAAACCGTGGGACCCTGGTACCCTGGAACCCTGGAACCCTGAAACCTTGGAACCCCGGAACCCTGGAACCCTGGAACCCTGGAACCCCGGAACCCTGGAACCCTGAAACCCTGGAACCTTGGAACCCTGCGACCGTGGAACCCTGAAACCTTGCGCGCGCTGCGTGCCATAGAGTGCTCCTCAAAAGTGATTACATGTCATACTTTAGTGGCATCCTCCAAATTCATTAGTCAGCCTTTGTTAATCCAGGGCCCATTTTACACATGTCATCTTCTTGGTCGTGGCGCCATTTCGGGATCACACTGATGACCTAAGCTTTGGCCTTAACTATTATGCAGGCAAGCGACATCAGCACGCTATGGTATTGGAAGACACAGGGTTTGCCCGTAGACCAGCCAAAAAATCGTTTTTCCACACTGAACAATTGGATTTAACACATTTAGAATAGGAGCTCCGCCTGATTCAGATTTCATCACTTAAAAGGTACCCATGCCTGACTAGCCTTCATGACTTAAAGCGTAACCACACCCGACTTTAGGGAACCATGCCTGACTAGCCTTCATAATTAAGAGGTACCCACCCACGCCTGACTCAACAGAACCCATGCCTGACTAGCCTTCATAATTAAAAGGTACCCATGCCCCTGAATTCAGGGAACCATGCCTGACTAGCCTTCACAATTAAAAGGTACCCACTGGAACCATGCCTGACTAGCCTTAATGACTTAAAAGGTAACTACCCCTGACTTAATACCTGATTTACTGGTTTTGCCTGATTTTGGAAAAACGCAGGGCCGGAATTTGCAGGGCGCGGGCCGGAATTTGCCGGGCCCGGGCCGGAATTTGCCGGGCTGGGATTTTGGGGTCGTGCCTAAATAGGATTTTTGCAAAAATCGTGCATGACTGAAGGGAACCATGCCTGACTAAACATCATACCAATCATCCCAAAAGAATCCAATAATTCCAGCAAGTGATGCCTGACCAATCCCTGCGTCATAATAAACCGTCTGCCCCTCCCCACCCAATAATGAACACACGGAATAGTTTTTTGTATTTAGTGGGTATTTAGTATGAGGGTGCGAAACTTCCCCCTTGGTTAAAAAAAAACTAAATTGGAAAACATTTTTAAAATAACATCTAACTAAAATATTGCCAAAATTGGATTCCGAAGCTTCCCCCTGACATTAAATTGAAAACATTCGTTTTAAAAATTGAACTTTATATTTCAAAACCGATTGAATTCCTATTCAAAATCTAACTCAAATCTTGCCAAATTGGATTTCGAAGCTTCCCCTTATATTAAATTGAAAACCTTACTAATCCCCACCTCCTTTTACTAAACGTACCCTAAATACTAAAATATTACATTGATTCCTTTTACTAGGGTCCGCGTTAAATTTTGGGAAATTTCAGGCTGGCCAGTTTGACTTTTAATTGATACCTTTTCAAAAACAAATTAAACATGAAGGTCCCATTTCAGGATTTCACCACCAAAAAATAAAAACTAGTCAGCCCCGGTGATTTTTTAAACTAGGGTCTTTTAAGGTCGAAAAAATAAGTATTTTATATTACAACGTTTATATAATATTGAGGGAAAACTTCGAAATCCACTTTTTGGCATTTCCTGGCAATATTTTTGCTGGATGTCAAAAGGAAATCTAATCGATTCTTGAAATCGAAAAAACATAGTTTTTTATTAGTGTTTTTAATTTAATCTTAGGGGAAAACTTCGAAATCCAATTTTTAGCAATATCTTAATTATATGTTAAACAGAAAACTAATCGATTTTGAAACAGTTTTTTTTTTAAAAAATATATTAGGGCTGGTAATTTAATATTAGAGGAAACATTTCGAAATCCGGTTTTTGTTTTTATTTTTGTTACTACAATTTAAAAGGAAATCGAATCGATTTCAAAAAAGAAAAAATAATATTTTAGATTAGGGTTTTTTAATGTAATATTAGGGGAAAACTTCAAAATCCAATTTTTGACCATATTCTAATTAGATTTCAAAAGGAAATCTAATGAATTTTGATATAGAAAAAATAGTCTTTGATATGAGGGTTTAATATTAGGGGAAAGCTTCGAAATCCAATTTCTGGCAATATCTTAATTTGAATTTACAAGGAAATCTAATCGATTCTGAAATAGAACAAATTTAGTTTTTTTATATTGGAATTTTTCATGCAAGATTAGGGGAAGCATCGAAATCCAATTTTTGAACATATTTTAACAATTGGATTTTAATTTGATATTAGGGGAAAGCTTCAAAATCATTTTTTTGTTTTTTTCATTAGATTTCAAAAGGAAATCTAATCGATTTTGAAACAGGAAAAAAAACAAAATGATATTAGGGTTTAATAGAAGGGAAAAGCTTCGACATCCAATTTTTTGGCCATATTTTTAATTTTTAAAAGGAAATCTAATCGATTTCGAAATAGAAAAACATACATAGTTTTTTATGTTGGGGGTTTTTATTTGATATTAAGCTTCGGAATCCACTTGTTTGCCATATTTTAATTGGGTTTAAAAAGAAAGAAATCTGATCGATTTTGAAATAGAAATATGTGTATATATATCTATATATGTGTGTGTTTTTTATCAGTATTAGGGGGAAGCTTCGTACCCTAATACTAAAGACCCCCCCAATACTAAAAACTCCTCCAGGTGTTTGTTATTTGGGTGGGTGGGTGGGTGAAGGGGCGACTGTTTAGCAACAGGGGGAAGGGATTAAACCGTTTTTTGTTTCTAATTTCAAAATCCATGAAAATAATCTTTAAATAGAATACTGCCAAGAATAGGATTTCGCAGCTTTCGCCTAGTATCAAATAAAACACCAACACCTGAATTAAAAAAACTAAAATTGACGATTTTAAAGGACGGACCCCAATAAAAGACACCCCGGTGTTGACTAGTTTTTTGTTCTTTGGGGGTGAAACCCTCACATGGTACCTTCATTTTTAAAATTGTTTCCTCAAGGGGATCAATTAAAAATCAGATTAACCAATTTGACATTTCCCAAAATTGGAAATCGC